CCCAGGGCCTCATGCATACAAGGCAAGCGCTCTACCACTGAGCCACGTTCCCAGCTCCGTGGAAGGATTTTTATTTCTTATGGTCCTGGGGCTCAAACCTATAACTTTATATGTGTTAGGAAGTGTTCTACCACTGAGCCACATTGTTAGAAGGTTATTTATTTTTTATTTTTTGTAGTAGGAATTGAATGTCAGACCTAGCACCTCAGGCCTAGCACATGGTGATTAAGTACTCTTTAACAGTGAGCTACATCTTCAGTCCCATAATATATTACGTACTTAAAATTTCTAAGACAGTAGTTTTTTTTTTCCCCCAACACTGGAGAATAAACTGAGCTCCTCAGACATGCTAAGCAAGTATTCTGCCACTTGAGCCAGGCCCCCGGCCCTTTTTGCTTTAGGTCACTTGAGTTCAGGGACTGGGGTGCTGTCCCTGAGCTCTTTCGCTTGCATCTAGCACTCTATCACTTTGAGCCACAGCTCCACTTGTGATTTTCTGGTGGTTTTTGGACATGAGTCTCAGGTCCTTTCCTTCATGTCTTTTGAACCATGATCCTCAGATTTTAGGCTCCTGAGTAACTAGGATCACAGGTATGAGCCACCAGTACCCAGACTGGCTTAATTCTTTTTTTTTTGGGTTGATCGTGGGGCCTGAACTTAGCCTGGGCACTGTCCTTCAGCTTTTCAGCTCAAGGTAAGCGCTCTACCACTTGAGCCACAGTGCCATTCTGACTTTTTCTGCTTATGTGGTGCTGAGGAATTGAACCCAGGGCCTCATGTATTCAAGGCAAGCACTCTACCACTGAGCCACCGTCCCAGCCCCTGGCTTAATTCTTGAATGACAGCCTTCCTAACGTTTTGTCTTGGCTGGCCTGAAATTGCAGTCCTCCTTATCTCTACCTCCCATGTAACTAGGATTATAGATATAAGCTACCATACCTGGCAGGAAGGATTTTTAATAATACCAGTTGTTGGAATGCCTTAGTTTTTATAGTTGTGTGTGTGTGTGTACATATATATATATATATATATATATATTTGTATAGATTTGTTCTTTCAATAAGGAATTCAATAAATACTCTATAATTATTATGCCAGGGACTATTATCAACTAAGTTACAGTTTTCATTCAGCCGAAAGGGAGACATCACTTTAGTTGTTGCTTGTGTTAAGGATATAATTTGACCCACAACTCTGAGAAGCAGCAAAGCAGCCTGAGTGGCTAACCCTGTTATTAAGGCCCCGTGAAGAAGCTGGACAGTCTTCCCTGAGCAGGTTGAGCTCTTGAGACCATAAGGAAGGCCACCCCTATCTCCCACAAATGTGGATAGGAACCTCATCTAGACCCTCTAGTGTGGCATGGCTCTATCAGACACTGGAAGATGCTCTGCCCTGCTGCCAATCATTCTGAGTCTTGCTAATCTGGGCATGCTGTAACATTTTTCTCCCCACAGTAAGTTCCCCTTTTCTGCTGCTGTGTCAACTGTGCTTTACCTGTACATGTCTGTCAGAACTTCCCCCTACCTTTATGACCCATGGGTATGTGATGATTAACCCACACTCAAAACTGGACCTATCATGCCCAGAGATTGCAGCCCCACCTAAGAGATCTGAATCTCAAATGATAGAACGATCCCTCAAACCCCTGTAGTTTTTAGGTCACTGAGATATCCACAGGAATTACATGCATTCTCCTCTTTGGCTAGATGAAGGTCTAGCCTTCTCTTACTTCAGCAGGACCTTCCTTCATAGTTGTGGCCTTTCACACTATGGTGTTTCTTTCTTTAAATTTTCAAAATTTTTATTTTTTTTCAGTCATGGGGCTTGAACTCTTCAGGGCTTGGGTGCTGTCCCAGAATTTTTTTGCTCAGGGCTAGCACTCTACCACTTTGAGCCACAGTGCCACTTCTGGTTTTCTGGTGGTTATGGAGATAAGAATCTCACTCAGGTCCTTTCCTTCCTGGGCTGGCTTCGAACCGTGATCCTCAGATCTCAGTCTCCTGCATAGCTAGGATTACAGGCATGAGCCACCAGTGATTGGTTACTGTGGTCTGTCCCTCCCTCCCTCCCTTCCTCCCTTCTTCCCTTTCTTTCTGTCAGTTGTGGGACTGAACTCTGGGCCTGGGTGCTGTCCCTCAGCTCTTCAGCTCAAGGCTAGTGCTCTACCACTTGAGCCACAGCGCCACTTCTGACTTTTTCTGCTTATGTGGTGTTGAGGAATCGAACCTAGGGCCTCATGCATGCAAGGCAAGCACTCTACCATTGAGCCACCTTCCCAGCCTGACTGTGGTGTTTAATTACAGTTTTATACAAGGTGTCATAGTCAACAACAGTTACAAAAGAAAAGCCCCCTCTTTTACTGTCTCAGATTTTCATAATTTCACCCTTACTGTTAACATAATCTCATAGGTGGTATTCCCTAATATGTTCCCTTTTTTTCACCAATAAACATCCTTTTTATAGTTAAGTGGGCATTGATAGTTCCTTTCGGTTTTACAACTCTTCCATCCCTTTTGTGTGTTCTTGCACTATGGCTGCATTCACCTCCTCTAGAAAGGGATGAATAACAAATGCAAAGCCCCTGGAGTGCTTGATGTTGGCTCTCATGTCACCACATAGTCGTCCATCAGTGTCCCCTTTGCCTAAAGTGTCATCTCAGATCCTCATCCATTGTTTCAAAGCTCAGCCCTCTGTGGAAGAGTTTCTGCAGGTTTGTCAGGGGACTCTGACTTAAGACATGACAGCAGGGGGAAAAGAAACTTTAATAGTGTTTCCTTGACTGTGTCCATGGGTGAAATGAAGTAAGCTTGTGAATGTATCCCTTGAATGTGTTAATTAATTTGGTCTGAAATAATTTATTGATGATTTTTCTGTTCGTGTTCATCTAAGATATTGGTCTGCTTCTCTTTCTTTTCATTACTATTCAGTTTTGGTACCAGGGTAACACTAACTTCATAGAACGACTTTGGAAGAATTCTGGTCCTGTTTTATGCAATACTTGCAGGAACATTGGCATTAGCTCTTCTTTAAAGGTCTGATAGAATTCTGCAGTGAATTGATCTGGTCCTGTGGTTTTCTTTGTTGGGAGACTCTATTATTGTGTCAGTCTTATTGCTCATTATACATCTGTTTAATTCCTCTAATAATGCCATCTGTCATGTCTGGAAGTAAGTAGTGGTTTGAAGCTGGAGTCTTATATTTTCTCTCTGCTCTCAATGTACAGTTTGGTGCTGTATGTGAGCTGAGGGAATGGCTAGACAAGGCTGTCAGGACTGTATTCACTTTAGAAATTTCCCATTTTGGTATATACCAGGAACACCTGTTGGCCCCAGTGAGCTTTGTCGCCTATGGACCAGACAGATTCCCACTTATTCCAAAGGCCTCTCAGTTTATGTGCCAAGGTGTAGCAAATGTCTAAACCAAGGTGTGTCCCTTGAATCCATTGGGGAGGTAGGGAAGCAAATGGAACACTGAGTCTGCACTGGAAGGGGAAGACCAAAGGAGCAGGAGCTATGCCTCTGGTCTCAGAGTTTTCAGACTCTTCTGGTGGTAAACCACCTGGCAGGAGGGAAGAGGCTGCAGAAACCCAGAGTTACATTACTCCGAAGTCTGAGCAATCCATGGGCATGGATTTGGACCATCAGTCTCCACAGTAACTATCATGTGTAATAGATAGGGCTTTTGCATTGCCACAGAGGGCAGGGCCACTGATCACTGTACTCTGCACAGTACTTCTACTGCTGCTTAAACTTCTCACGAGTCCGTGTCTGACCCTCCCTTTCTCCATTATTGCCTCTTTGTTTCATCTCCCACCCAGACATCGTGACAGCTTATCTTCAGGCTTTCTGACTTTTGATTGTTTCTTGTTTTCAAGTCCCTCAAGTAACTTGGTCTCAAAATATAGGCCATTCTGTAGATAGTGTCTACCTATAGCATTTGGAGAGATGAAAAGTGATGTAATTCATTTCTTTTCCAAATACTAGCTGCTTGTGCAGAAGGAGTCTCTGTCACACTAAATCCCTGCACTGGATTTAAGATTTGTTAGCTATTCCTATGGTTAGGTCTGCTAGTTTGTTGTCACCAGGTCTGCCTGGATAGATGGCTGCATGGCTGGATGTGCCTGGTTGCAGTCACATGTAATCCACAACCTGTCACTATTAGAACTGGAGACTATTTCCTACTCTATTTTGTGTTGCCTATGTGTGTTTGTGTGCTTACAAGTTTCTCTATGCTTTTTGCTGTTCTGTTACCTCTTTGATTTCTGATACTTTTTATCCCCTAGAGTATCTGTTCTTTGCTATCCCAACTGTTTGTCATTTCAGTCTTATGGAGAAAACTTCTAGTCTTCCATCTTTAACCTTTAGCACTTCTTTTTAAAACTTTGTCATTATTATTTTTTTATAAGTAGCAGTACAAAGGGGTTTCAGATTTACAAGTCAGGTTATGAGTACAATGCAGCTTAATCGGTGTCACCCCTTCCATTGTTCTCCCCGATCTTTACTCATCCTATCCCTGCCCTCACATTACATAGCTCAATTTCTACATAACATACATTGATTTGTTTTTGTTTTTGTTTTTTTTTTTGGCTGGTTGTGGGGCCTGAACTCTGGGCCTGGGTGCTGTCCCTCAGCTTTTCAGCTCAAGGTGAGCGCTCTACTTGAGCCACAGTGCCACTTCCGGGTTTTTCTGCTTATGTGGTGCTGAGGAATTGAACCCAGGGCTTCATGCATGCAAGGCAAGCGCTCTACCACTGAGCCACCTTCTCAGCCCACCTACATAACATACATTGAATATAGTGCTGAGTTCGCTCCCTCTATTGCGCTCTGTCATGTGTGTGCTCCGTCTGTCCCAACAGAACACGTTTCAGCTTCCTGGTATTCATTTTGTCAAAGGATTCCTTAATTGCTCAGAGGAGTTACATCATTGGACTCCTATCTTAAGTATACCATTCTTTATTCAATTTGTGTATGTAAGCATATATAATCACGTGTCTTTGTATTTTAGAGCTAACTTCCACATATGGGGTGTTTCAAATAAACTTTATTAATGATTTGCTATATAATAAATTCTACCTCCAACTTTTTTTTTTTTTTTTTTTTTGGGTCCGGTCATGGGGCCTGAACTCTGGGCCTGGGTGATGTCCCTCAGCTCTTCAGCTCAAGGCTAGCACTCTACCACTTGAGCCACAGCGTCATTCCGGCTTTTTTCTTTTTGCTTATGTGGTGCTGAGGAATTGAACCAGGGCCTCATGCATGCAAGGCAAGCGCTCTACCACTGAGCCACCTTCCCAGCCCATACCTCCAACTTTTTATTAGCACCAATTAGTTGTACAAGAGAGTTTCAGTTTGATTTGTGCACATGTGCATAAAATGTACCTTGATCAGATTCTGTCAGTCTCTCCAATTTTCCCTTCTCAAACTAATCTCAACAAGCTTCATGGGCTGGGAAGTTGGCTCAGTGCTTGCTTTGCATGCATGAGGCCCTGGGTTCAATTCCTCAGCACCACATAAGCAGAAAAAAGCAGAAAGTGGCACTGTGGCTCAAGTGGTAGGGCGCTAGTCTTTAGCTGAAGAGCTGAGGGACAGCGCCCAGGCCCAGAGTTCAAGTCCCATGGCCGACAAAAACAACAACAACAACAACAACAAAACAAGCTTTAGGGAAGGGGAAACAAAGGGAGGAGACAACAATGCTTGATAAGAAATGTACTCATTATCTTGCCCATGTAATTGTAACTCCTCTGTACGGTATTTTCACAATAAAAAAGCAAAAAAACAAAAAAGCAAAGAAACAAGCTTTCGCTGTGGCTCAAGTCGTAGAGCGCTAGCCTTGAGCTGAAGAACTGAGGGACAGTGCCCAGGCCCAGAGTTCAGGTCCCACGACCGGACCCCCCCCAAAAAAAAATTTATTTTTCTTAATTTTTTTCAAATTAGGTCTCTGTTGATCTTGGATGATGTTTGGGATCCTTGGGTATTAAAAGCATTTGACAATCAGTGTCAGATTCTGCTTACAACCAGAGACAAGAGTGTTACAGATTCAGTAATGGGTAAGGATTACTTTTTAATACTTTTACTAACGTAGGCAGTAAATTAAGGGTATTAAAGTATTTAGTTCAGCTGCATACAAATATGTGCCACACCAAGTTACTTATTACTGTGTCTTACCATTTTGTTGCAGGTCCTAAATATGTAGTTCCTGTGGAGAGTGGCCTAGGAAAAGAAAAAGGACTTGAAATTTTAGCCCTTTTTGTTAATATGAAGAAAGCAGATTTGCCAGAACAAGCTCATAGTATTGTAAAAGAGTGCAAAGGTATGATGAGCTGGGTTACAGGGATACTCATTCTCTCTTTGTGAATTAAGCTAATAAATGTGATAATTTAGCACATAAAAATCCTCTTTAGTTCTAATTTAGTATTTTAGATTATTCTCTGATACCATAAATGAATACAGGATATTATATTATTTGTTCACTTATTAATATTTAGCATGCATTTCCAGTATGCTGTGAGTGTGTATGCTGAAGTGAAAACATGAGTAAAAACAGTGAAAAAGGGCTGGGAAGGTGGCTCAGTAGTAGAGCACTTGCCTTACATGCATGAGGCCCTGGGTTCGATTCCTCAGCACCACATAAGCAGAAAAAAAAAAAGCTGGAAGTGGCGCTGTGGCTCAAGTGGTAGAGTGCTAGCCTTGAGCTGAAGAGCTGAGGGACAGTGCCCAGGCCCAGAGTTCAG